TTTTTCTGCCTGGCTCATGCATGTGCACTCCGAAGGTGTTTTCTCTTGTATGATATGTCGTGCATGGCCCAGCATGTCTCAGCCCCAAGTTCGGCCTGAGTGGGGGAGCATGGACTTGGAAACTCCTAGCAACCCGACGGCGATAAAGACCAAACACGGCATCTTGTCATCTTTAGAGACCTCTCAGTTCCATGCTGCAAAACTGGAGTCTTTTTTTTATTCAGCATCTTCCTGGCTGTTTCCTAACCATGCTTCCATGGCCATGAGGTCATTTCTCTCCTCCAGTAGACTACTCCTCTCTGTTAGAATGCTCCTAACCCTCTATACTCACTTGTTACTTACACACCTAGCCCTCTGCCCAGGTGCTTAGTTCTGTAGTGATGCAAACTAGGGGACATTCCCCACTGAGGCCATGCTATTCAATAGCAAATCAGTTACAATCTGCTATTCAATGCAGACTGGAGCTCTGGGTTACTGGAACCCTGGAACTGGAGGTTTGGATATTTCCTAATGGAATTTTCATGGTTCCCAACAATGATATTGAAGGGACCAGTTCCGCATTTTGGCAGTCATAACAGCTGAACACATACTTGCCTGACCTTGTCTTGGTCACTAGGAGGTCAGATGCCTGCCTCTTGGCAAGGAACCAATCAGATGTTAGCTGGTGTTGCTATGCTTTACCGCTCTGGGTGTGCTTTATGGACAAGTGCACAGCAATGACGCACAGAGCATAGCAACCACCCTGGGAGGGCCTATGGGCCATAACAACCAGTTGACCAATCAACACAGGGCAAGCCCTCCAAGCCTAGAGGCACACCAATAGTGAGCCTATGCGTACCCCTAGACACGCCCCTTACACTGCCCTATAAGATCTCTTGGGAGGCCCTAGGAGCCGTCTTTTGCTAGCCATCTGCCACGGCGGGAGGGTGAAAGGCCCGAGCTAACATGGGGTTAGCTCGTTAAACAACTACAATAAAGCCTCTTGATGCTTGCATCAAGCTTTGGCCTCTGCCTGGTGATTGGGGTGGCCGCGGTCCTGGGCTGAGATCCTGGGGGCATGAGTCTCCCGGGGGTCTTTCATTATGCCTTTTAATCTGTTTACCTGATGTGTTGTCATGTATGCTGTTTCCAGGGTTTTAAAAAATATTTACTTTTATTTTACCTGTTTTGGTGTTTTGCTTGCATGTATGTCTGCATGCCCAATACCTGCAGAGGTCAGAAAAGGGCATCAGGTTCCCTAAAACTGGAGTTATGGATGAGGATCAGCTGCCGAAGCATCACCCCAGCCCTTGTTTCCAGTTTTTGTTTGTTTGGAGATAAACACTGAGCATCTGTGGCCAGGGTACCGCTCAGGGAAGGGCATGTTTATAGCAGCTTGCCCGCCACAGCACATATTTGAGTCTAGTCCTGAGCTTCAACCCTACCCCTTACAACACACACCTATGCATAAGTCTATTTTTATTTTAATTTTTAGTGTGTGTGTGTGTGTGTGTGTGTGTGTGTGCGCGCGCGCGCGCGCCATGTGCAGGATCTGTGTGCTGGTGGAGGCCAGAAAAGGGCATGGGATCTCCTGGAGCTGGAGTTACAGGTAGTTGTGAACTGCCATGGGGATGCTGAGAATCAAACCCGTGTCCTACACAAGAGCAGCAAGTGCTCCTAATGGCTGAGATATCCCTGGTACCTCAGTCTTCTGGGCATATATGAGTTTCCTATCCCCATTGTTGCAACGTAGCATGGACTCAGTGCTTAGGACAATGTCTACCTGCCTCACAATTCTGTAGTCAGAATTCTGGATGTGGTATAAATCAACTGTCTTGCTTGCTTAGTATTCTAAAAGGCCGGATGAAGTCAAGGTCTTGGCTCCTATCGGGAGGTGTTGGCAAGGATGGTGGGGGAGGGGGACTTTGCCTCTAAGTTCATTCATACTTTCATAGGACTCAGGTCCTGTCCTTAAGGGGTGTGAACTTCCCATGGTCTTTGCTGAGGTAAAGTGTCCTCTGATCCTGAAGCATAGCCACCTGCAGCTTAGCCCATCAGAGACACGTTAACTCCCTTTTCTCTCTCTTTCCTCTCCTTGTCCTTATCCTCCTCCTCCTCCTCCTTCTTCCTAACTCAGGGTCTTGCTGATATTCCCACCTTTCTTCTGCTGCAGTCTGGGGCTCCGCACACACCCCTATCTCCAGCTGACCACACCCGTTTTTTTGTTTTTGTTTGTTTTGTTTTTGACACACATTCTTATAAGCAGTTCATAAGCGTCGGTCCTTTCAGAATTTCTCCAACACGGAATGCTAAAATTCTTAGTTGTCATCAACATCAATCTAATAAATGAAATATAATATTGATTTCAATTTGCATTTCTCTGAGCATTAGAGAGATTGAATCGTCTTCCATTCAGTCCTTGGTCATTTCGCCTTCTTATTCATACTGCTCCTCCGTAGTCTTTGTTTCTCTTCAGAAGAGAGGTTTTATTCTTTGCCAGTTATTTGTAGATTTCTTCTACAATACAGATATTAGTGTTTTATTTATTAAAAACATTGCAAATGTTTTCTTTAATTTCTAGGTCCTCTCCCTCCTCTTTCTTTCCTAAAATAAGATTTGCTTTTTATTTTGTGTGTATGTGTGTGTCTACATGTGCAGGTGCCTGAGGAGGCCAGAAGAGGGTGTCCGCTCTCCAGTAGCTGGAGTTATAGACAGTTGTCGGGATGCTGGGAATTGAACTTGGGTCCTCTGGAAGGGCAGTTTCTTTCATTCTCCCTCTCCTCCCCCTCTCTTCCCATTTCCCTTCTCTTCTGTGACACTGAAGATGGGACCCAGGACTCTGAGCCGGCGGGGAAAGTGCCGTACCAGAGTTATATCCTCAGCCTAGTGTAGAGAGGGTGCATGCTGTTTTGTTTTTTCTTTGTAGACGGATCTGTGTTCACCTAGGAATATTTTCCCATCCAACTGTATTCAAAGTTATTGAAACTGACTCTAACTTCTTGCACTATATTATAGTCAGTTATTATTTTGAGACAGTATCTCACTGTATAGCCTTGGCCATTCTGGAACACTCTTGTAGACCAGGCTGGCCTTGAACTCCCAGAGATCATCCTGCCTCTGCCTCCTGACTGCTAGGACTAAAGGTATGAATCACCAAGCATGGCTTCTGTATTATGTTTATAATGCTTATTGTTTGGGAGGTTTATATTTAATCTGACATTAATTTTAATTTTATTTTAAAATTTTGTTTTGTTCTTGAAAATATTGTACATGTGTACAATGAAATATGATCAAATTTAGCACCTACTTCTTCCTTCCAGCCCCCCCCCCCCATTTTCAAGACAGTTTCCTCTGTGTACCCCTGGCTGTCTTAGCCCTGAGGAGCTCTGGCTGTTTAGACCAGACTGGCCTGAAACTTATGCTTCTGCCTCCCAAGTGCTGGCATTAAAGACCTGTGCCATCATGCCTAGCTTTTTTTTTTTTTTTTTTTGAGATAGGATTTCTCTGTATAGTTTTATAGACCAGGCTGGTCTTGAACTCACAGAGATTCACCCGCCTCTGCCTCCTGAGTGCTGGGATTAAAGGTCTGCGCCCCCTAGCATTTTTTTTTTTTTTAAATAAGTCACTAAATCCAGCTAGTGCTTCTCATAAGTGCAGGCAAAGGGGGCCTTTCCTGGGAGTGTGGGGAACCTATTGCTGGTCATACCCTCATCTTATTCTGGTCTCTTGTAGGTAATCAGAGCAGCTGTGAGCTCATGAGCATGGTAACCAGCTCAAGTCCAAAAGACAGCTTCCCTTATCACTCAGCCCTATCCCTGGCTCCCGGTTCTCTCGGCCTCCTCTTCTGAGCTATCCCTGGGGCACTGGTGGGATGGGAAAGAACTTGATTTAGAAGTCCCATTTCGGGCTGAACACTCATTCTCCTGTCCTCAGCATGTGACAGCTGCCCCCTGAAAAGGTAGCTTCTGACACTGGGTTTCAGTTCTTTTTTACTTATTTTGCGGCGCTGAAGTTCAAACCCAGGGCCTCACGCACAAGTGCCCTACCACTGAGCTATGCCCCCAGCCCTATTTATTTTAAGTAAGAGATTCTTCCCCTAAAACAATAGATAATTATTCCAACAGTGTTTATCAAATACTCCATTACTTCTTCTTAATTTGAAATGCCAAACTTAAACAAGATTTTAATTAAGGGCGTTTCTGGAATTTTTGTTCTATCCCACTGATTCCCACGGCATTCTGTCAATGCTCTGTTCTTTGACTGCTGATGTCTTAAACTACATTTTCGTGTCTTCAGGCAAAGCACTCCCAATTGCTCTTTACACTTTTTTTTTTTTTTAATTCTTGGCATTTACTCTTCCAAATGAACTTGAGAGTATTAACAAATTCATCACAAATTCTATGTGGATTTTGTTGGGACTGCATCAAACATTTAATTTGTAGAGAATCATACTTTGGTAGCACTGTATGCTGTATGGTAGGCTTTGATGCTTAGAAGTTTATCACTTTTAATTTTTTTCTTTTTGAGCGATTTATTTCATTATTTTTATGTATATGGATATTTTGCCTATGTGTGTGTGTGTGGCCACATGTGCACCTTGTGTCCACAGAAGTCAAAATAGGGTCATGGATTCCCCAAAACTGGAGTTATGAATGGGGGTAAGCCATGGTATGAGTGCTGGGGTCCTTCACAAGAGCAACAGGTGAATTAAACCACTGGACCGTATCTCCTGCCATAGAAGTTCATATCTTAATGATCTTATGGAAGAATTACTGGTTTTCTTCATGTGGATTTTGCACAGGTCACATCAGGCTTAGTCCTACATTTTCTATAATTTAGGAAGTGAATCTATAAATATGAGTTTTTTTGTGTGTGTGGATACATTTAAGTAAAGAATTAAGTTAATGGTATTTATGATTAAATTTCACCTTTTGAGAAAAAAAAATACAGATACAATGAGTTGAAGAGATGCTGCTTTTCCAGAGGACTCAAGTTGGGTTCCTAGCACCCACCTCTGGGTAGCTGACAACTACCCAGCTTATAACTTATAACTGCTGCTTATAACTCCAGCTCCAAAGTGTCTGAAACCTTCTTCTGGTCTTCTTTGGCATCCTCCATCCAACACACACACACACACACACACACACACACACACACACACACACCAAAAAAAAAGAAGGAGTGTTGTTCCTAACCATGGCTGCAGACTGGTAGTTCTGCTGTGGCTTGGCTGGACTTTTTAATTTCAGAGGCTTAGTTTGTGCTGTATAAAATGGGATTCTTTGGGCCTGTTTTACCTCTTTCTGCTCCTCTGTGCTCTGTGAAATTCCATGCCAACTTGAGAGCCAGGTCTTCAGCAGAGGCCTTGCATAACTGGAAGGATTAGAGAAGCTGGGGACAGCGGTTTCTCACTCCCTGAGGTGGTTTTGTACTGAGTGATGACACAGTAGTCAGGATGCCTGGGTGCATTTATGGGGAGGGCAGATCTTGGACTCCTAGGGTTGGAAGTGCCACAGGTCAGTAATATGTGCACTGGCTAGAGAGAGCATCGGCCTCATTTCTTCCTGAGAATAGACGGCTGAACCCCCGAGCTCTGGCTTGCATGTAAGTAATGAGAATGCAGCTGGACCACTTGTGCTGTGGAGGACCAAATGAGCAAGAAGAGAAAGACAAATTAGAAAACTAGGAGGTCGTTCCTTACCGGTCAGTGGGAGGCAGTGTAATTGATCAGGTTAATTCTGGTCAGGTTAATCCAAAGCCTTCAGGGTTTAGCATTTCCCCACGTGAAGCAAAGCCCTGGAAGGGTTGTGACAATGTAACCATTGCTGGGGCATGTAAGATGTCTGTCTCAAGAGGACCAACACAGAGCGCCCGCCTTGGAGCCACTAACTCCTGACCTTGACATTGAACAATTTTGCCTCACAGATGATTTCACTAGGCTGCCAGTGCCCTGGGAAAGATACCAAGGGCGGGGTTACAATTCTGGGAAGGTTTGTCTGTCTATCCTCTAGAAGATCATTATTATTATTATGTTAATTTTTTTTTTTTTGAGACAGGATTTCCCTGTGGTTTAGGAGCCTGTCCTGGAACTTGCTCTCTAGTTTACAGAGATCCACCTGCCTCCCGAGTGCTGGGATTAAAGGCGTGCCCCACCAACGCCAGGTTCCTGTTTTTTTTTTTTTTTTTTTTAAGATTTATTTATTATGAATGCAGTGTTCTGCCTGCATGTATGCCTGAACACCAGAAGAGGGCACCAGATCTCATTACAGATGGTTGTGAGCCACCATGTGGGTGCTGGGAATTGAACTCAGGTCCTCTGGAAGAGCAGCCAGTGCTCTTAACCTCTGAGCCATCTCTCCAGCCCCTGTTTTGTTTTTTTTTTTTTTTTTTTTCTTTTTTTTTTTTTTTTTTTTTTTTTTCTGATAACCCACGGAGTCAATTTGGACTGCTCACTGGACTCCTGATGGATCTTGTTGACAGATCTGTGCATGTGACAGTAATTTCAGTGAGTTAATGGGTAGCATGTCCATGTCATCCACAGTGACAGAATTTCGCCCTACTCCTGCTCTTACATTTATTCTGCTCCCTGCTGGGCCTTGTCAGAATTGATACAGGTTCAGGACTGAGCACTCCACAGGCTGTTAGTCTGGGAACTCTGGCTCGTTCTGAGTCTCTGCATTAGCTGCTGCCCACTGCTAAAGGAAACTTCTCCAACCAATGCTGACAGTTGCACTAATCTATCCATAGAAGACACGAGAGAACATGTCCACTTAGAAAAAAACAGCAGTATGATAATTAGCCAGGCCCTGGTCATGTTTTCAACCCAATTTGAAAGCAAAATTTTTATTTATTTATTTATTTATTTATTTATTTATTTATTATCATGAGTTAGAATCTAGCTGTGACTAGATAAAGAAGTCAAGGCTAACCTGGGCTATATAGCAGGACCCTGTCTCTAAATAAATAAACGGTCTCCAATATTCAGTAGTCCACAAAGTCAATCTGTTTTACAGGGGCCTGAAGAGATGGCCTGGCAGTTAAGAGCACTTATTGCTCTTGCACAAGACGTAGGTTTGGTTCCCAGCGCCCACGTGATGATTCACAGCCATCCATAACTCCATCCTAGCGGAGCTGGCCCCCTCTTCCGTCCTCTGCGGGTACCAGGCATGCCTGTGGTACACATACACACATGCAAGCAAAAAACACTTATACGCAGAACATAAAACTTAAAAACCTAAAATAAAAAGTTGCAATTTATGCCGGGCGTTGGTGGCGCACGCCTTTAATCCCAGGTCTCGGGAGGCAGAGGCAGGTAGATCTCTGTGAGTTCGAGGCCATCCTGGTCTCTAGAGTTAGTGCCATGACAGGCTCCAAAGCTACACAGAGAAACCCTGTCTCGAAAAACCAAAAAAAAAAAAAAAAAAAAAGTTACAATTTATAATTGCTTGAAACATTCATTTCCTAGTGCCCTTCTTTCAGTGTCTTTGATGTCTGTGTGATAGGACAAAGGCAGCAGTGTGTTGGGGAAGGCTGACTACACTAGTGGTTTTTGGTCATTGAACACTTTCACTGCAGAGCATCGCTGAAAGGACTCACCCTTGAGACATCTGTGTGATGATGGGAAGCACTCGGCTGAACACAAGGGAAGGAAGTAGTGTAGTCCTTTGATCTGTGGGCTGAACTGCTTACATTTGTCTTTTCTTTTCTTTCTTTCTTCTTTTTTTTCGAGACAGGGTTTCTCTGTGGCTTTGGAGCCTATCCTGGCACTCACGCTGGAGCCCAGGCTGGCCTCGAACTCACAGAGATCCGCCTGCCTCTGCCTCCCGAGTGCTGGGATTAAAGGCGTGTGCCATCAACGCTTGGCTACATTTGTTTGTCTTGAGACAGGGTCTCACTGTGTAACTGGCCCAGGCTGGCCTGGAACTCTCAGAGATTCATCTGATTCTGCCTCCTGCTTGTTGGGATTAAAGGCGTGCGCCACCACCCTGGCTGAAATACTGTCGTCTTATTTTAATTTTTTTTTTTTCTGTGCTAGGGAATGACCCTAGGACTGTGTGCATTTTATGTGTGCTAAGCAGGTGCTCTACCACTCAGCTATATCCCAGCTGTTATTTTATTTTATGTGTGAGTGTTTTGCTTGCAGGTAAGTGTACCACTTGGATGCCTGATGCCCAGAAAGGTCAGAAGAGACTGTCAGGTCCTGGGGAACTGGAGTGATAGATGACTGAGAGTTTTCATGTGGACACTGGGGACTGCAAGAGAAACATGTGCCCTTAGCTGCTGACTTGTCTTGCTAATCCCTCCCCATCTGTGTTTACTTGATAGACCCGGTCTGTTGAATTGTGGTCATTCAAATGTATGCATTGTACTTTTATTGTTTCTCTGACAAAACACCTCACAGAAACAACTAATGATAAACGTTTCGACCAAGACGCCCAAGCCCCATCACCACGCGGTTGCCCAAAACAACACACAGAGATTAATATTAGGTACAAATGCTGCTGGCCAATGACTAAGATTTCTTATTTGCTAGCTCTGTCTTAAGTTATCACCCATAACTATTAATCTATATATTTTATAAACTTATCTTATCGAGGACACCAGCGGAATGTGTCCTTTCTTGTGGGGATCACATGGCAGCTCCTTCTCTTACTACATTTCCCAGAATCCTCCTTGACTCCTGGCCCCACCTTTCTTGCTTTTCTATTGCCCAACAGTGCTTTATTCATCAACCAATAAGACAAACTTATACACGGAAGGTCCTCCCCATCAAACAACTTAAGGGAACAAAGGTTTGTTTGGCTTCTGGTGTCAGGGAGGGAACTCAGCAACTTATATTTAGGTATACAGGGAGTGTGGGGGTGTGGGGGTGATGGTGTTTCCCTTTTCTTCCTTGTCCTGGTTAGTTTTTATAATTACCTGGATAGAACCTAGAATCACCTGGGAAGAGGAAACTTCAGGTGAAGAATAATCAAGACCAGACTGGCCTGTGGCCGTGTCTATGAGAGATTGTCTCAACTCTGATTGTGTTGGGAGGGCTCAGCCCACTGTGGGCCGGGCTATCCCTAGGCAGTTGGGTCCGATTGTATAAGAAAGCCAGTGAGTGAGCCAGAGCAGTAAGCAGTGTTCCTTCACGGTTTCTGCTTGAGTTCCTGCCATGACGGCTCTCAATGATTGACTACGATTAAGTAAAACAAACCCTTTCTCCTCCAGGTTGCTTTTGCTCGTTTTTTTATCACAGCAACAGATGATCAAACCAAAACGTCCTTTTCATTTTCTCTGGGCCTCCAGCCCATGGGACGATGCCACCCACCTTCAAGGTATGTTTTTTCCCCTACAGTTCCTTCTGTCTGGAAATAACTTCCCAGATCCCTCCAGAGGTGTGACTTAGCATCCCCTACACGAATTGAAAGCCAGGCAGGTCAGCAAACAGGACTAATCATCTCAGGTGTTTAACAGGCATTTTCTTTAAAATGAACAAAATGAGCCTGTCACTCCCAGGAGAACAACCGCCAGTGCCTGTCTCTGATGACAGAAAACAAGCTCTCGAGCATCACTGTTTAGGGGACCCTTTTATCTGCCACTGTAAGCGTGACAGACTCTCACTATTTAAAGACTTTTCTGATGACGTTAAACACGAGCAGTGATGTAAAAGAATGTGATTAAAATCATTTTTGAGATTTGTTTTTATTTTATATTTTATGCACAGAAGTATTTTGCCTGGGTGTATGTCTGTGTGGCATGCGCATGGTTGGTGCCCGAGGACACCAGAAAGGGGTGTCGGGTCCCTTGGAACTGGGATTACAGATGGTTGTGAGCCGCCACGTGGGTACTGGGAGTCAAACCTGGGTCCTCCAGAAGTGCAGCCAGTACTCTTAACCACTAAGCCGTTTCTCCAGCCCAAGGGTACCATTTTTGGTGTTATGCAATAAACATGACTTTTGGAAGCTCTTCATAGCTTTAGTAAACCTTCATTTTCCAAATGACTAATGCACTTCTCTTAACAGCAAGAGGAAGCTATAAAATCAACCTTGTTTTGACCTTAGTGGGGAGTGCAAACAGCAGGGCAACAAAATGGCATTAAAACCTGAAGACCAGGTGCCACCAAAGAGAAATAGCACAGGGCAGTACTTAACCTATGGTGGGCCATAAGAGACTCCAGATGCCATGCATGCAAGCAAGAAACATAACTTAGCTTTTTTTTTTTTTTTTTTTCAAATTGTTAGAGCCTGATGTGGCTACCACTGGAGTGCAGAGCTCTGTGGTATTGCAGACTGGAGGCAAGTTGCCATGTATTGCCAGCAACTGATGATGAGAAAGATTAGGGGGACTTTTTAGTCAAGGGAAGGTTCTATACTGGCCCAGGCATGAGGGATAGGCTACCCACTGTCTTTGTCCAGTTTCTGTTGTTATGTTAAAATGCCCGAGACTGAAGAATGTATAGAAGATTAAGTGTTTGTTTTTTTTTAAATTCATGTGTCTGGAGGCTGGGAAGTCTAAGGGTACAGTGTGGGCATCTGGTGAAGATCTCAATGTGTCAGTACATTACAGAGGGCATCACAGGGAGACGGGGCAAGTGTGTTAGCAATTTCCTCTGAATCGAAACTTTTATTTGGGCTGTCACTCTTGCTGTCACT